AGCCCGGCGCAGTGGCCCCCCGGCGCGGGCTGAGCTCGGCTCGGGTGTTCGCGGCGTGTGAACGATTCGTGGGGAGGAGACCGGCGCTGCTCACGCCTGGTGATGTTTAATCACTGGTTTTGACAACTTTGTTTTCCCGTCTTGCTTGCCAGGGGCTGGGAGGAGGACGCAGGAGTAGCTGCTGTCACGCCGAAAGTGGTGCGAGCCCTCAGGTCCCCCCTGCCGTCCCTTCCTCAGACCGAAAACAGGTACGGGCTGCCCGCCTTCAGTTACCGGTACTGTGGGTCCGGGTGGAGGGGTCTACAGAAGCAGAAATTTGCCTTCGCTCCAATTCATTCTTCCTTTTGTTTTGGCAGCTTAATCAGAGAGAGCGTTAGAGACTTATTAGACTGAGGAAATGAAAATTCACTTTTAATAAATTATTTGCTCGTAGGCCGTCTTAATGACGGCTGTCACTCTGCCGTTGGTTTTGAGCCCAATAAAATGTTGCGTATAGCAGTTTTATTAACATACGATGCAAAAAGTGCTTGCTGAATGGCATGTTCCAGGTATCTTTCATTCTTCTTTCCAGGAAGGTGGAGCTGGAGCTTCATAATATTGTTACCATTTTTGTAATGTGTATTTAGTTAAAAATACAGATTTCTCCTTTAAAATCCATAGGATGAAGGCCAGACATACGAAGCCTTTTTCATATTGTGTAGCATCTTACTTCATGGGAGCCCTTTCGCTTGATCCCTTGTCTTGATCTTTTAGATCAGTGTAGATCTTTGCTTTACAGCCTGTTACTTTATACTGTGAAGTTTAGTATGAAAATAGTTGACAAAATTAGCTGTGAAACAAGTCATGTCTTATGTGCAGGCTTCAATATTAGCGACTGTGTTTTCGTGCTCTTGAGTCTTCACACACTGTAGGAAAACTAGTAGTGCAGAAGAGGGTGGTGTAATCCACACATGACATATTACTATGTAAGAAGTAATTTGCAAATATTTTTGCTATTCTCTTTTACTTTATATGGCCTCACTAACATTGCAGTTCCAATTATTATTTTATGTTAATACATATTATGGTCAAAAACACATGATAAAAATTAGAAAGAACTTGGGAATTGGGTCTTTAATGGGAACTGTGATGTCCTGGTTATATTGAAGTCAATGGTGACAATGCCGTTAACCTTACTGAGGCCACCATTTCACCCAATCTAGCTGAATTTGAGGTTGAAACAACATATGCTTTCCCTAAGTGAATGCAAGTGACGTTAGTTGCAGTAACCATTGCAGCGTACCCTAACAGTAGGTTTCTTACACGTTTCTGATGAGAGACCCTTGTGCTCCCTGCCTCAAAATTTAGAACTTTCACAAGCCGTAAGCTTATAACATCTTTCAAAATTAAAGTGAAACAAAAGGAACAGGAACATTTGCAGAATTCTAACTGCTATTATGTGCTTCTAGCCTGCTTCTCTTTCCTGTGCTCATTTTTCCCCTTTCTGTTTTTTTTTCCTTCTTTTCCACTCCTTACAATTTATTGGTTTTGCAGTATGTACTCTGTTCGGCTTTGGTTTTTGTAGCTGTCACTCTATTCTCCTCTCCACTCTGTTTTGTGTTATGTCTGTGGTTGCCCCCCGCCCCGTCTTTTCATACCCTTCCTTTTCCCTGCTAGTTTCTGAGCTGCAGTCTCCTGCCACTCAGCTCTGTGTGCTAAACCATGGAGTCAAATTGACTAGAAATGCTGGCAGAGAGCACTTCAGAGAACAGTCTAGCTACTTCCCTTCTGCTGTTAGTACACTCACAACTGGAGCAAAGAAAGTGGAAGCAACACCGGAAGAGGGCTGAAAATCCATGGCATGTATGGGTCAGTTTTTAATCTCTGTAATAAGGCAAGTGAGCGTGAGATTTTAAATGTCTACGTGGAGGATTTTGGCACCAATTTGGAGCTAGTTTTGATCAACCTGAAATTGTATTTCTTAGTGACTAAGTGACTGCAAAAGTGTGACAAGTAAATTATTCATCAAAAAGTTTCATTTCACTCTAGCTCCTATAACTGTAGAGTCTTTGAAGGGATGGTTTGCTGGCTGAATCCAAGAGAGGATGTTCTTTCTCATGTGAATGACCACGCTCAGTAAGCTGGCCTGACAGGAGTTTGTGGTGCATGTTTGGCATATGAGGAAGGAGAGAGAGCTGCTGGACTGACAAGGAGCTGTTACTTAATCCAGAGAGCAGCTGGACTGGGCAGGGAGCCATGCTAGAGGGGTTTGATCCAGGCAGCAGCTGGACTGGGCCTGGCTGAGGGCCCTGCTGGAGAGATTTGATCCAGAGAGCATCTGGACTCATTCAGGAGATTCAGACCAATCCCTCAGTGATGGAGATG